CATTTGGATGGGGTCTTCATTTAGATGGGGTCTTATCAGAACCTCACATAAGAGGCGTCACATGGTGTACACCGCACAAGTACCGTACTCCTATTGCTCACATGCAAATCTTCAAATCTTATCAAGTATTTTATTCGCTTTACAAACTGCAGTCATGTATCACTGTTGATGGACATGTTGATGGGCATGTATGCCAAAACCAACAAGTTTTGTGTTTTATGAGTATATGTCATGCAACCGTAAGAACTTACACCAACTTTTCTCTTCAAGAATGCAGACAAGATAAAAGATTGGCCAGTTTAGCTTCATCCATACAGAAAAAAAAATTGTCTGAAAAAAAGACTGGTTGCTTTCCCAGGTGTTACTGCAATTATGGATGTAATTCTCCAGGCATGGAAACCAAATATGAGGGTGAAGCTGAAATTATCTCTTCATATCTCAACAAGGCTAGGAATGAGGCCTGTTGGGTGAAACCCAAGTGGATCTGTAGCATGTTGGCTATAATAACCCCCCACAGGTTCATGACCTTTGATACTACCCAAGCCACAAAACTCTGGTCTTGGATATATACATACCTGTCACCCTGAAGCCAATTCTCCATGAAAACTCCTGTACAAAATGCTGTCTCAAGTGATTCTTGCTGACATCTATGCATCGTTCAGTCAGCAAGATCAGATACCAGTGAGATTGATTTGGACTTCTGAATTTGCGGTGTAATTACCCAAGGAAGACTGCTAGCACCCTTGGCTATAGCCAGCATTCCTTGATGCCATTCTGTAACCAACATGAACCTCCACATTTCACATGTATCAGATTCAGTTTCAATTTTAGTAAATCAAAACATGCTCAACAATTCCCTTTTAAAATGCTAAATTGACTGGACTTTAATGCAATGCTCTTAAGGTAATGAAGGTGTGTACACTATAATTTAAAATTAAACAAACTGTGCGAGTGCACAATAAGCTCTGCTCTGGCCATCTTGCATGAAATCTGTCAAAACGATCCCTGCCAGAGCTTAAAAATGCGATGCTGATGGCACATACGGAACACCATACTTACGATTTATACCTGGATTTATAGTGATTTGCGATGAATACCACGTCTCTATAACATTAGGCCACCAAAAAAGTCTCCAGTTTCTGCTCTGCGCGCACATGCTGTAGCCATGTACGTCTGCAAAAATTTTTTTTTTTAATTTCAATGTAAGATGATGTCTCAAAAACGCCAAACTCACTGGTTCGACTGGAATCCTGCTGCTGCACAATTTTAATGTGTTTTTAGATGGGGTTACGATCAAGTATTTTTTTAAGCTTTTTGTACCCTCTCTGGGCTGCCATATATTTTGCACTAAATTTAGTCGGGCACCATTTGCAGACGGTGTTGTAATTTTGTAATTGTTCGTCTGGGAGCCAGACTGAGGGAGCCATGGTCGTGTATAGTGAACCTGAAAACGCTTCTTCATTAGCGAAATATGTAAGGTAGCAGACTAATGACCAGCCTGGCAGCACATGCACGATGTTGATGTTGCTGTATGGTCTGACGTTACCGTTTTCTCTGATTTTTGTCTTGAGTATCCAAATTTCCCAAAGAATATCCGTGTCGGTCGAGATCGTAAGTGGGTGCAGAATTCTCAAGCCTTATGGCCTTACTGAGATCACCTCAAGCTCCACTCTGAAGGATATTTTTGAGAGTTTTTAAGGGGATCGAAGCGTCATCTGCAACATCAGCCAACCTTTTAAGAAAAAACAAGGAGGGGAGAAAAAACCCAAAGCCGCGTTGCCGCAGCACTATTGGGGCAAGATCCATACCAGAAACCGAAGACTTGGTTTTTGGGCCTTACTGCACATATTTTGCATTCATAATCATTTTTCCGAATTGTTGCAAACAAGTTTTGTTAAGTATTTAATTGATTTTGTCTGCTTTTTGGGGGTCAACATTAACATTTGGTTGTGGGAAACTTAACAGGCTTATTTTGGTCAATTTTTGAAGACAGACATAATAAAGGCACATACACATCTATCTAAACAAAATCAGTGTTCCAAAAACCGTCCTCAAGAGAGCATTTTATGACCAAGGCATGGCATTTGGTCAATTACATGTACTCAATTATTTTTGGTCAATTTTCCAGGGACAGACAAATCTAGACAGACTGACCGACCACCAAGTGACATGTAGAAGCTCCTGCCAGAGCTTAAATAGTGGAAACAATTTTTTAGACAAGTTCAGTAAATTTTATCAGAATATCAAATTCAACGCACTGAGAATGTAACATGTAACATGTACAGGTACATACTTAGGGCCTTTTCACACTAAACAAAATCTTGGGAGTGGCTCCAGGGTGAAGCAGGGGTGAAAATGATTCACAATTGAATTCTCACCCCCGCGCGGGCCGAGCCACACCCGAGATTGCTCTTTTCCCGCGGCGACCCTGCTCAGGACCAGGGTTGAACATCTTATCCCCGGGGTGAGATACTTTCCAAGGGCGAAAACTGTAGTGTGAAACCAGTAGGGGTGAGTTCACCCCAAGGCGAGCATTAGAGGGTTAAAACAGACTCAGGAGTATGATGAAATTGCAACAATTCATCTAAAACTACGGTAGAGTGTGTACAATGTGGGCGTTTTGACAAATCTAATCAACATCATAATGCTGGACCACAACTTCAACTCGTCCACAAGTTGTACAAACGTAAAAGAGGTTAAATTTTCCTAAATTTTTGACATGAAAATGCACACAGGAAACACTCCTTTCGTTCTTAACATGCCTTAGTGAAATCTTAATGCCTCATTTCCATTATCTCCATATCGGAGATGAAGAACATTGCGCCAATTTCATTTTTACGACAAACAACAATGTACTTGTATTGATATGCTTTCCGGTGCCAGATCTAGGAAATTAGGCCTAATGCTTCCACGGTACGTGAGGAAATTTATCAGTTTAAACAATACAATCAAGCACCAAAGCCAGAGGGGGTGTGGGTGTTAGTAAATTTGTTAGTCCTATAAGTGACCATGGTTAAAGGATTTAACAGAAACTGCACACCCCCCCCCCCCTTAACAATAACATCCAGCCCCCTGGAAACAATATGCAGTTGAATATAATGCAATACATGTACATTTTTAATTTGGAAAATATCAAATAAATATTGCTTAAATAATATCAGCCATTCCATGTAAGGGTCATCACCAAACTCAAAAATTGAAGTGAAAGGAATAAATGTTTGTCTGTTATATTTGATGAGGAATATTGAAACCATCTAAATCTCAAAAGATTTTTTAAAATAAATCATTTTATTTAAAGTTTCAGCCTCCTGAACATGGATGAATTTTGTGGGCAAAATGGAGGGTCAGGGGTATAAATCACAAACTGAGGAAGTAATTGAAGCTCATTCATAAGATTGTGCTTTATCTGCATACATTTGGTAGCTATTCCAGTGTATTTGATAAAACATTGAGAATTTTTCCAAATGTCTTCAGTATTTTCCCACTATTTTATCGTGAAAACACCCTCAAAAATATGTCACGCGCGTCACAAAATAGGACTTTTTTTCAGATTACTTAATAACTAGAGAGGGATTCAGCTAGTGTTTGATATTTATAAATGAAATAGTGGTGGTCTATCAATAAAAGTATGAATATTCTTATTTGCTCTACATTCCTTGTAGAAAAAACTATCTCAAGAATGTCACGCGAGTCAAACATGATGTATGTCACGCAAGTCACCAGGGGCGGGTCCAGGGATTTTTCGCAGGGGGGAGGGGGTTTCATCAGCCAAAAAATCTGAAAATGTACGCACGTTTTTTTCTCCGGACACTTGGCCTCCGTAAAATCAAAAACTGGAGGGGGGTACGGGAGCTGGTACCAATTTCAATCGGGGGCACTGTTCAAATTCGACGATTATTAACACATTACAGAATGGTGTACTGTATTTTGAACAGGCGGACATTAGACCAGTATAATTTTTTGAGGGTGTCACAGCAGGGGGGAGGGGGGGGGGGTTTTCGACTTAATTTTTATGAATTTGTATGAGAATTTTTTTTTTTTTGACAGAGCTGGGGGAGGGGGGTTGACCCCCAAACCCCCCTCTTGATCCGCGCCTGGTCACAAGCCAGGAATGTTTCATTTACATGTAATACAAAGAAACAATGCCATATTAAATTATAGAATTGGAATTAAGTCTTTAAAAGCATTAACTAGTTAGGACCTATGTAACAAGAAATTGAATCAGTTTTTTACAGATGTATATACTGTATACATTCCTATACAACTGCATCATTAATTGCAGCTCTTACCTTTTAAGGAAACTGTGACTCTACATGACCAAGAATTACAACTGTTTTCCTGAAATAATCACCCGTGGATTGATGACATCACTTCGTAACTTAAATTCCGAAAAAAAATTCTCTCCGTGTCATTGTTAAGGATATTGTGTTTAAACCAGATTTCCACCCCCAACATTCGCCAAAGTAAAGAGATAAATAATAATTACCAGCAATGGGGTAATAGGGAGACATTCCCATAGACTTGTGCACAAAAATTTTCCGAATTGAATGTGCGCTAACCCAATATTCCATTGTCCTTTTTCCACAAACTTCGGTATTTTTACTAATAAGACCACGAGCAACAAATATAACCTAATTTCGACAGCAAAATTTTTCCTCTAAAGGGGAGCTGCGCCAATAGGGAGACACTTAGGTGTCACCCTATTAAGCCCGTGTCTCCCTGCTATCGAAGTTTCTACGCTAACGTGTCTCCCTAATAGTACATTTGTAGGAATAGCAGTTTTCACACTCTTTCATAAGGTATTCACAGGTAAATCATTTTTATTAATATAATATTAAGATTTGATTTGTTATACTAAAATTACAGTTATAATGTGAAAGTGAAAAGCTACTGTGTCACGCGAGTCACGCATTTGTGTCACGCGAGTCACATTTTCTTCAGGCCATTTCTTACAACAAGGGATATTTGGCACAATACAACTTATGCATGTATTGGGTGAGGGTATTAAGTTCTAAGTTCAGTAAGAATAATTTTTAGAACACTGGTAGATCCATAGGAAAAGCTATTTGAATCAAGGGATGTCAAAAATCCCTTTTTCTATCCTGTCACGCGAGTCACGTCAAAGAAACTGTGATACATAAAAAAATAGCGATTTTAAAGTAATCATATGAAAACTAAACCATAAATTCACAATGCCCTGACTCAAATACATGCTAATTTGAGTTGAATAAATGCCAGGTTAACAACAGTAATGCATTAAAACTTTACATTTTGTTCAAATGTCACGCGAGTCACCATGGAATGGCTGATATCTGGATGCTTACAAAAATGCTACACGCTAATGAAATACCGTAGATTATCAGATTTATGACATAATGTTTCACGGACTGTAGTGCACACAATGAAGCAAGTGTGAAAATAGGGCCAGGACTCAACATGCATATTTTTTATGCATGTCCATGATAAGTATGCATGTTGTAGTGGATTTTGGATGTTTAAAAGATACCTGAATTTGGCAATGAAGAACTCAGTATTAATTATGCAATTTAAACACAGTTTTATGGGAAACACGTCTGAAACAACTCGGGGTGAGCTCGAGGGTGAACAATCGATAGTCACCCAGGGCAGCCCAGGGGCAGCCCAGGGTGAGTTCGCACAGGGGATGGATGCTCTAGTGAAAATGCCTTTACTGTATTATGAATTGGACAAGGGTCAATTTCATGAACCACTACTATTGATCATATCTTAAGTTACATAAATGATGGATAATACATCATTTCGTCGCCGTTTTTACGAACCAGCAAAACAAGCATTTCACGTCAAAACTAGACTTCAAGAAAATCGCATTCAAAGTTATGCAAGTTTTCAGATGACAAATTTTATAGTTTAATTGTGGGTTAAATTTTGCAAGTCACCTGCACAGAAGGTGTTTTTAATAATATACTTATGGGTTAGATTCATAATCAGAATTCTAGTGGAGAAAATAACTCTCAACAAGTTTTTCAGTTCATAAAACCTTTTTATGCGCTTTTGTTTGACGTACACAATGTATGTTGTGAGAGCTTTCTACCTGTACTAGTGTTAAGTAAAATTATCGATGCCTTTGAGAACAAGCAGTTTTCTGTCGGTATTTTCCTGGACCTGTCCAAGGCCTTCGACACTGTTAACCATGACATCCTTTTAAATAAATTGGAGCATTTTGGTGTCCGAGGGTTGGCCTTGGACTGGTTCAGAAGTTATGCATCAAATAGAAGGCAGTTTGTTTCTTATAATTTACATCACTCTGTAGAACTGTTCATCACTTGTGGAGTCCCTCAAGGAAGTGTGTTAGGTCCATTACTATTTATTATTTATATCAATGATATTTGTAGATCTTCTGATGTCATGTCTTTCTGTTTATTTGCAGATGATACTACTTTAATTTACAATCACCATAATGTGGATACAGCCATCCAAACTGTTAATGTTGAACTTGTTAAAATAAGTAGATGGCTCATTTCGAACAAATTATCAATTAATTTGCTTAAGACTAATTACATTATTTTTTGTCCACGCCAACATAAATACCAGGCCACAGTTTCTCTTAGCTTTGATGGTACTGTACTCAATCAAGTCAAGACTACTACATTTCTTGGACTTTGTATAAACAAAAATCTCACTTGGAATTGCCACATTGATGTTTTATGTAGTAAAATTTCTAAAAATGTTGGGGTTATGAATCGTCTGAAGAATTTTGTACCTAAAAATATTCTTTTAACATTATATAATTCCTTTATTCTTTCATACTTGAATTATGGCCTACTTTCTTTTTGGGGATCTTCAACTGTACATGGCTCCAACAAACTTTTTAAGTTGCAGAAGAAAGCTGATCGTATTGTAAATAGTGCAGGTTACCTTGATCATACCACTCCTCTATTTGCCAAACTTAATATTCTGAAACTGAATGATCTCTACCACCACCGACTGGGTATACTTATGTTTAAATATACTCACAACATGCTCCCTCCAATTTTTAATCATCTATTCTCATTTACTTCTTCTGTTCATTCATATGAAACACGTAGTTCATCGAAAGGTGATCTGTTTGTGAGAAAAAATAGAACTTCCTTTTTTAGAAACAGTCCATTTCAACGTGGTGTCATATACTGGAATGAACTCAACTTTGGTTTAAAAGAGTGTACTACTGTGGTTTCATTTGCTAAAATATTGAAAAAATCGATCATCAATACTTATACTTTTACTTAAAAAACATTTTCTTCTCTGCTTTGCTTAAGTCATTATTTTACATATTGTACTGGGTCTCACTCTTAAACCTATTGTCCTGTCTTAGTCCGTGTGTAGTTAGTTGTTTAAGTTTTGTCCTGTCCCAGGGAAAGGCACAAAAGCAGTGCTTCACCTTTTTCCTTTATGTTGACATCATTTAATATTTACACTTAATTACATACTGTCTGTGAAGAATGTTTTGTTTATACACCTATACTGTTTTCTGTCTGAATTGTTACCAAGGATGTCAATGTGAAAATAAATGTCGAATTGATTTGATTTGATTTGATTTGATTTGATTTGTACGCACGTACTATTTTATCACATCGTAAAACAGACAGTTTGGACAAGTATGATGCAATGATGTTTTACAAACTAACGCTAAACATGGAAGATCGCCCCAGAATGTTTTTATGTGCTGAATTATTGTTTGCAAACCATTATTATTGTCCATTGGCAAAAGAATAAGAGAAAATGTTGTTCCATCACTACATATTCACTAAGTAATTTTCAACTCTACATGTTATTTTATTCTTTTTAGTAAAACATTACAACTGTCATTCTTATTTAATTAGAAGGTCTTAATTGTAATCCATTGCCATCAATCTCCATTTAATTATTTACAATCAGCATGAGGTATGTTCATGTTGTTTAGCCTCAATTCTAGTGAGAATGACAAAAGTGTGCGATCATGGACTTCATGAATCGACTATAGTACGAAGATGTAAAAGGAACATGTTGAGAAAAAAATGTCCCTCATCATCCCTTCAGCTAACTCGTACGTAAGACTAATAATCTGTACATGCGACTAAAATATTGTACGCCAGACTTACATGTCGTACGTACAACTTATAAATTTATACATACATACATACATACGACAAATATCTCGTACGTCAACTTATATCTCATACGTACAGCTTATCATACGACATATAGGTTGTACCTACGACTTATGGATTGTAACTCCTACGTATGACATATAAGTAGAACGTACGAGTTACTTCTCGTACGTACAAGATATGAGATATAAGTCGTATACATGTATACATCAGGGATTGCAAATCATACATGTAAGTCATACGTATGTGTACAAGATTAAGGAGTACGTATGAGTTATGAGTCATACATATGAGTTAAAGCGTACGTACGAGGTACAATTCATAAGTGGTACATATACGACTTATTTTGTAAGTTGTATGTATGAGATACGAGACAAAAGTCGTACATGTACGTACCAGTTGCAATAAGTCGTACATACAAGATTAAGCCGTATATAATTTACAAATTACATGTATAAGGCGTACATACGAGTTATGAGTCGTACGTACGTAAGAGATTGTACGTACGAGATTGTAGGTATGACATGTGAGTCCTATGTACATTCATACAATTCATAATTGTCGTACGTAACGAGATTAAGTTGTATTTACGAGTTATAATTAGGCTTAAGTATGAGTTACAATTCATAAGTTGTACATACGAGATGAAGGAATACCAGTATTTACAACTTACATACAAGGCGTAGGTATACGTACAGTACAAGTTATTAGTCGTACGGTACAAGTTATGGCGTACGTACGAGTTATGATTCCCAAGGCGTAGGTTGATTATGTACATTAAACAAGTTAGTGGCACGGAGAGAGATTTTTTTCACCATGACCCTATATAGTGGACAAACCTGTGAACATGTTACCAAACGAGGCGTACCTCCAGTATAAGTCGTACGTATGAGATATAAGGCGTACGTACGATTTCCAAGGCATACGTACAATATTTAAGTTGTATGTACGACTGGTTAGTCGTACAAACAAGTCGTACGTATGACATAATTATAAGCACCAGTAGTACGTGCAACATATAAATCGTACATGCGAGATATAAGCTGTACGTATGGCTTACAGTTGTACTTAAGAGTTACAAGGGGGAGCCACTGAGCGCACTATCAAGTTCCAACAATATTAATTTCCAGTCAGATCGTGACTGACAGTGAAATAGATTGTAACAGTTTTCATGATACTGCGTGGTGACCATGCGTTTGTTCAATAAGCGGAGTTACTCTCGATCAACCCACTGAGTATGACAGAGTGGCAGACGATGGTTTAGCAAAAGTATTCATGGTTCGTGGGTAAGGGCAGATACAAAAACGTAATCACTTTGTCCAAGCCAGGTATTCGTTTTTTTCCCATTTTTGGGGGGGTTGGGTCGGTTCGGGTCGGTTTTACCTTATTTTTGTCGAGTCAGGTTTGGTCAGTTTGAGGGAGTTAAGATCAGTTTCGGTTCAGATTCGGTTTATATCTCTAATGTTTCAGGTCGGTTTGGCCTGGTCGACCCGACCCGATGCACATCATTTGTTTACTGGAGCCCTTTTCAATGGGACTACACAGCCGTATGGTTGCTAAGGCAAAGCGTCTGCCATTGATAACCAAGCTAATCAAAGTAAAGGTACTTAGATGCCATAACAGAGCAGTGAAATTCATGCACCCAAAAAACATGGCCTTTGAACGTTGTATTTCTCAGAAAAAAGTTCTCAGTATGATTGAAATGTTAAATTATAACGGAACAAGAAATTGTAAACTTCATGACAATGAAAGAATCGCCGTCTTAGTTACTGGTAAGGCTGACCTTAAAGTCGGGAAGAAATCAATCGAAAATGTCCTGGGCGAATCTATGTTTTTATCTCAATTTCTAGGAATCTCCTCAGGTTGTTATTTCAAGAGTAGTTGAACACTTACATCATCTAAGTATATTCCGTATTTCAGCTTAATCCGTTGTTGCAAACGCTAGTGTTACACCTTGAACTATCTCCATGGAAAATATGAGGATTTTTTCCCTCCCCCAACCCATGTGCATTGTTCAGCAAAGCGCCCTAGGCACTACGGCTGACCCATTTCGGACTGGCAACACAATGACGAAGGGCATAACAGCATATTCATTAACGTCACTCAGCGTGACTTAGCGTGGGTCTTGGTATCGACCAATGGAAGCCGGCAAAAAGGGTGATACATGTATTTACCACTTAAAAACTTGTGAAGGAGGCTTTTCTGCAAATTTTTACTAAACACCACAATGGATAGGAACCTTATTAATATTGATTATTCATGAGGCTTGAAAAGATTGACAGATATTGTAAATGCAGTGTTACAACTTTCAAAAATGCACATAGCTAGGCCTATTTGTACGTTTTCAATGAAAAGTAATGAACCTATCACAACGATTTTTAGCACCGTACTTGGATCATAAGGGAAATAAATAAACCCTGAGAGTTGCATGAAGATACGGTCTTCCAAACGGAGAAATTAATTTTCAAAGATTTTGCCCGCCAACATGAACATGTCTGTATGCATGTACCGGTATGTAGTTTCATTCAAAATAAAGTGTTGCATAACCTTTAGAAATCGCCCTTTGCAACCACACATCTGTACAAATTCATCCCCACCAGGTTCCCATATGAAAGAACATGTGAACAAAGTGTGGTGAACAAAGTGTGATGGCGTCAGTACAGGGCTTTAAAAGCCACATTTACATGTACCGGTACATGTAGGCTACATAAACCCTTCAGATGAACTGTAAGCACCCAAACCCTGGCCTCTTATTTCAGCGTGCACTGGATATATTTCATTTGACAACATGCAACAAACAATACATCATGTACAAACAGTAAACTCTATAGGGGAAACATACAGTGATTGATAGAAGGAAACCTGCTTTACTACTATGCAATCTCTGCCAAGTTTCCTTGTGCACTTAAAAAATGTGTGGCTGCATTTGTACCCCTTACCAGATTGACTTTGATTCTTTGCTCCCAAAGTAAATGTGTTTCTCATCTGTGCAGAAGAAGAGCAATGCAATTCAACTTCACATCTGTTCTCAATACACACGTAGGGGGTATGGGTCATTCCACGAAGTTGAGGTACAAAGTGCATGAAGTGTGACATTGGGGTCAAATTTTCAAATTGCTTGTACATGTTTTGTTTATGGCAATTCATTCAAATTTAGGTCACATGATTTTGGAAAGTTGGTCAATTTGTACACAATATATATTTACATGTAATGACTATGGAAAAGCTGTGGATGTAACCGGAAGCCACGTCCTGTTACATCCAAACCTTGTTTTGTTCATAATAAATATTTCAAAATGCTTCAAATTCACACCAAACTTGACTTTATCATCAAATACATGTAGCTCCATTTAATAATATCCATAATTGTATACTTTTCAAGACTGCTTTCTAACAACAACAACCAAAAAATGGTTGTGGATGTAACATGTGGGACACCACTACAACACAATGCGGTATTCTTCACCTCGATATGAATGGAACTAAATGTTGTTTGTGTTTAGAAATGTTGTTTCCAAATCTCTGTTTCAAGGGCAATTGCAGATTGCAGGTCATGATTTTCATACTTATTTTAGGCATGACCATGTCAACCGGTTGTGGATGTAACATGGACACCATGTGCCCACAGGCATAAGATTTTCTTCATATTTGATCAAACATTTACATGTATTTGCATAGACCACGATCACATTATTTTACACCTACCAGTTTAATCATGAAATACATGTATTGGGGTCAATCCGACATAAATTGCTGCAAAAAGGAAACTTTGCACAAGCCAGTTCATGTAACATGACATGAAACAAGGGACACCATACCGGTATGTTACATCCACAACCCAATTTAAATTGTGCATGCCATTTTGGCAAAACATTTTAACATCTGATATTTTTGTTCAATAGAAAGGGTACATCTTCTCACAATAATTTGCGTAAAACCTCAACTCCAGTCCACTTGTTTTCTTTTCAAAATGAG